GCCCCACCGCGGGGGGACGGCAGCAAGGGGCTGCTGGGGGGCCGGGCCTGGCGTCAGGGGAGCGCTGCCAGGGGTGGGCGAGGGTCTGGGGCGCGGAAGGGTCGAGCGGTGCGGGGAAAACTGGTGAGGACACCGGGAAACGGGACAGTCCTCCTCTCTGTCTCCTGGGCTAAACGGGGCTCCGAAGGGTCTAGTCTGTCCTTCTTTACAAAATCTGCACTCTAAACTTAACTGCGTTTGTGTGCAGAACAGCTTCACTCATGCGATTAATGCCGCTGCTACCTTGTGGGGTTCAAATCTAGCGGGGAAAATACAAAGAAAAACAAACCCTAGAGCCAGTCCCTAAATGACAAATGTTCTAGAAGTCAGTACAATGACATTAACAGTGCACAGAAACGCAGGGGCAGAGCCTGCAAACCCCCTAATTAGATGAGTAATCCTCATGTGAGTGCTGAAGTCATTGGTCCTAGATCACTTGATGTGCACCACAGGGCTTTTGGAAAAAGAGCCACATGCAATATCATCCAAATGAGGCAGATTTCATGTGGACACATATATCTGCCTAGATTAATCCCCCTTTGCAGCATGTGGGCCTTTGAGTGTCCATAATATTCCCCAGTTACAGAGTTTAAAACCTGCAACTGTGAAGATGATTAATTTTGGGGAGGAAGTATGAAAACACACAGCTTCAAAAGAGCATTAGCTTGGAGTGAGGCTGATGGCAGAGCATCTCTAGGACACAGCACATGAGCAACGCTGCAAAGGCAGCAGGGGAATAATTTTAAATTCATTATGTTTGCGGGGAAAACATCTTCTATTCATAGGGGCCTAGTGGGAAGCTCTAATAAAACCCAAAAATGAAACAGAAAAGCTGTTTTTGAATGTCCTGAGACTGTTCCTGTGGATCAGCATAGGTTGATTTTGAAACAGGGATGTCAAATGGAAAATAGGGTTGTGGAGCAGGAAAAAGTTTAAAAATAAAACAACAACAAAAAAAAACCCAACAAACAAAACCAGGGGGTCAGTGCTTTGTATTTCAAAAAACAGTTTCTGAGCAACTGCTACAGTTAGATGTTTGCTGCTTGGGTAATCACTGTGAGCTGCTTTTATAATGAAGCCCTGATAAAGCAGAGCCACAGAAGCATCTGAGACTTGGGCAACACAATTATTTTTGTAGCTTGAGTGATGCAACCATGTTGGTCAATCTTCCTTTCAGCTAGCTGCCTACAATGGCTATTTAATTAGCGGAGGAAACAGTTCTTGTCCTCTGCTACAGTGTGAAAACCTTCGGTGGCCTTTGGACCAGGTGTTGCTCCAGAGTACAGCCATGCCACAACGATGGCCGCGGCTGTAAGACCAGGGCCAGCATCAGGGCAAGCTGCTCCTCTGGCTGGAGTAGCTTCTGTGCGTTGGTGAAGCCCAGCCTCACAAGAGCCCTAAGAGATCTCGGGATCTGTGCTCTGGCAGATTGGGGCACTTGGGATTTGGGCATGAAATAGAAGCTGAGGTGCTGTGTGTGGAAATTGTGGGTCTTTCTGGTAAAGAAATGAGGCGTCTCTGATGTCTAAAAGAAATAGCTAAACTGTGGTTTTCGGGAACACAGCTTTGGAAGGAGGTAGTAGTTAGGGGCTGAATTCCTTCTTGGGATCTGGGTATATGTCACACCTGGAGAAAATGGTCTGGAGGAGACAGCAGAGAGTCACACCAGACACCAGGATAGCTCCTGCTCTGACGCTTGCATTTGCTGGGAAGAATATACCAGGCATTGGCTTCCCTTTCCTGACAATCCCGTGACTGCAGTAACTCTACTTTGTGTGCAGTAACCATTGACAGCAACAACCTCAACTCGGTCGTTAACTCTAAAACCAGTCCAGAGTGTGGCCATCTGATCATGGAGATTTTTCAACGCAAAAAACTTTGTATGACAGATGTTGGTTTGTGTTCTCCATCCTGGGTGTATGTATTCAAGCCTTAAAGAGAAAATGGAGGTGAAGAAGCTGGGGAACCAGCCATGGCATCCTGCGTGTTGCCATGCGACATGAGAAGGGTTAGGTACCTTTTGATAGCTTTTAGGCTTTTCCCTAGCTCAGTGTTTAAATTCCAGCCAAGCTCTTCCATCTGAGATAAAAGCCTGCTCCTACTGATATGTCTGATATTTGAATGAAATCTGCTACAGAAAAAAATGGTCTTGGCAGGGGCTAAATCTGCTAAATACCCTTCACTGGTATTCATGATAACTAGGAGCCTGGTGAGGGTCTAGTGCTTCCAGGGGAAAAACAGGCAGGAGGGATCAGGCAAAAGGTGAATTTCTAATAAGGAGAGCAAGCATTTATTACAACAAGGAAACCGTCTTTTGCATGTGAAAAGAGTGGGGAGAGGTGGCACATACACGTTCACTTTGCTCTTATCTGTTGCCCTTACCAAGTGGTATCATGATCATGGAGGCAGAGGAGGATGAAGGGGCTGCAGCCCAACCTTTAGGGGCTTTGATAGCATGAATCGTCAAGCACTGAACTGCCAGTCCCGGCTGCTCTAGGATCTGCAGACAATAAATGCTGCCATCTGGTGCCCCGAGTCCAGCCGCACACATCGTTCATGCCAGTCCGGCATCGGTACGCAGCAACGTTTCTACATGGTACTTGTTAAATGGAGAGAGTAGTCTTTGCTTACTCTTTGGATTATCCAATGGATTACCTGCCCCTCCACTAGCTTTCAGTACTGTTGTAGGAAAAACCACTGGCTTCAGAGTGAGTCGAGTAGTCCTACTAATAGAATGCTATAGAAAGGGATGTGGAATTTATACCTTGCATTCTTCTCTTGCTTTGATGAGTTACTTCTTATTTATGTCAGGACATATCAGTTTGGGTTTTGTTTTTTTTTTTTTTCTCTTATACAGTGGAAAATTGAGAAGAAAGTGGAATGCTGGACTGTGTATGTCAGAGGCCAATCTGAGTTTGGAAGAACCCTGATCACAAGATCTAGACACCAGAGAAGTCATCAGTTCAAAACCTTTTTTTTTTTTTTTTTGATATCATGATTCCTGTATCAAATATAAAAATGTGGGAAAGAAAAAACAACGGACAGAACAAATTTGTGACAGTCACCAGCAGACTGGCTCGTCTTGCTAAATTGACTGGCCAGATGCTGACCTAGTGTGGGCAGGGGAAGGGGTACGCAGTGGAAGCGTGTGTGCTATGTGCATGCAAGAAGTTTCATTGAGCTCTGTTTAGGTACAGAAATCAGGAAAGGTGCATTGAGACCTCGAGAGCCATCTGCTGGCATTTACATCGATCAGGGTGATGGAAGGACAAGAGCAGTCATGCTTGAATCCACAGCCAGTCTGAATGTCACTAAAGTTTTGAGAGCTTTGCTTCTAGTAGTTTTTCATTCCAGTTTTAGATGCTGACCCTGAGCCAGATCCTGCCATTTACCGAGCTGTCCTTTGTGAGCAGCCCCTTCAGAAGTGCTTGCCAAGGTCAGGGAAGAGCTTGCAACCTAATGCTGCATTTCCTTGTAAGTTGGATTAATGCTCCTTATCGTGCCCTTGCTCTGGCAAATATCCCATTTCCCTAACTAGGATTAGGACATCACACTTACCCTGATAATGGATTATCTTACTGGAGGCTTTCATGAATTGGTTTGACACACCGCTCACAGGAGCGGCACAGGCTGAGGGTGGCTGATTTTCATGTCTTTGGGGTGCACACCGGCCTCTTTAAAGTCTCGGAGTCTCTTCAGCTGAGAACCATAAGACGTGTACCACAGAGAGCAAAGGGGTTAAAACTAGAAGTGGGGAGAGAGAAACTTTTGCCTTCCCTTTAACTCTTGGATACAGCACCAATTGTAATTCCTCTGTAATTATCTAAAGATCAAATAATGTTCTGACATGAGAGATCGGAACAAGTAACATTGCAAGAGAATGCTGGGAGCACACAGAAGTCCCGACGGACGGGGCAACGTCGGGTTCCTGCGCAGCCTGGTGTGGCCAGACCAGAGGAGCAGCTCTGCCCAGGGAGGCTGTGGAGGGATAACGTTGGGAGACACAGGCTCACCGCCCGCGCTCCGAGCACGTAAGTCTGTGTCATGACCTGCGTTACTTT